AAGATCGGATTTTTTCAAAAAATCGGAACTGAGCATTAAGACCTGCAGTGTGAACGTAGCCTCTGTCTCCGCTTGACTTTATCTCTGGGCCAGAGTTCACGCCACATGGGGGTTTTCCTTTAAGCCCTACAGTACACAGGTCACTTGTTTTATCTGAAGGGAAAACAGAGTGCCGGTGAGCAGGACTTCCAGCATGCTATGGAGGTCAAAAGTCATACTTATGTGATGGTAATAGAGGAGGAATTGGTGTCAACATGAAGGAAGAGGAAAAAAACAAAACACAAACTGTCCTGCAGAGCTGTCAGAGGTACGTAATAAGGGGAAAGTTCAAGTCCTGGATTCGATGTCTGGTTCTTCTCTGATTGTGAGGAAACACAAAGTCTGATAAAGAACTAACCTTTGAAATAAAAACTGTTTTATTACCATATTTTCTTTTAGTTTAATAGCAGTAGAAGTCCTGAATGACTACTTTAGGATAATCTAGAAGCCTATGCTAGAAAAACTCACAATTCTCCTTTTTAAAAGAGAATCTATGCCTCTTTTTTCTCATTTGATTTAGGATTAAGGCTTTAAATCTTATCGTATTAAAAGTGTTTCATGTGAGAATAAACTCCTCCACAAATGTATAAATTTCCCCCTCATTTACATTTTCAAATGAGTCAACTGAACTTTTAATTTACCCCAAGGGTGATACAACCCTCCCGACCTTAATTTCTTTTTACAAAACAGATCCCTCTACAACTAAGTTATTATTCATGAAGTGGATAGAAGAAAGGTGACTGTTTAAACGTTTGTGCAGGCCAATTTCACTTCTGAAGCACCGAAACAAAACTATCCTCCCCTTTGCTCCTCTGTGACCTGTCTGCGAGAAAGATGCTGCTTGTTCAGGCCTAAAGACGTGAGACAGGCGGGCGCCAAGTTAGCGGCTTCCATGTCTAGACGCAGCCAACAAGCAGTCTTTTCTCCCATCTGCAACATGTCGTGTAAGAAAAATACAACTTTGGACTTTATATTACGCTCACACACGGTGATGTCACCTCACTGCTACCAAGAAACCAGCAGCTCGTTTTGTTTCAAGCTGACAGCGTCTTTTATATTTGCTTCAGAGTAATAAAAAAACAAAAACTTCTTTTCATTCCCCACCCCCTTCCTTTTTATTTTCCTCTTGATTACACTTAACTTTTATCTGCACTTGTTATCCCACAGAACACACACACACACATAAACACACACAGGCCAGAGAAAGAAGCCTCTGTGTTCAGAAGACAAAAGCTTCTCTTTCTCCGGAGAGGGAGCTGGAGCTTCCGGTTGAAAGCTTACTGTGTCAGAGGGGAGAGGAAGGGCAGGCGACAGGTCATGAATACGATACGAAGCAAAGTCGATGTGCATGTGTGTTACCAACATGTGCATTTCTTTCATTTATGTGTTCTGACCCTGTGTGCTTTGTGCATGAGCTTAAATACCTTAAATCCCTTACTGCAGTTGTGTCTCTTCGGCTCATTTTCTGGAGCTTTCCATTCCAGTTTGAGTGTGTGTGTGTGTGTGTGTGTGTGTGTGTGTGTGTGTGTGTGTGTGTGTGTGTGTGTGTGTGTGTGTGTGNGTGTGAGGGCACTGAGTTTGTGTCAGCCTGGTGTGAACCGGTTAACCACCCCCCACTTCCAGTAAGACTGATTGGTCGGCGGGGAGCCAGCTCAGTTCTCACCCTTTTAATGCAGAGATACAAACACCAGGCTCTTTGCTTTTCTTTCTCTTCCTCGCTCATTCGATTAGCTCTTTTACTGCCAGAGAGGAAGTTCTCTTTTAAGTCAGTTTTATCCATTTATTCTTTCTACATACATTTAATACATTTAAAATCACTTCCTTCTCTTTTCAACAGTTTGTCTTTCTATACTTTTTTTTTACACAGATCAATGACCCAAATACAGTGTATAAAATCAAACAAAACATGGATGGGCTTTGTAGGGTCGTGGTAACGTAAATGTTAAAGCAGTTGGCTTCGTAGGTCGTCGTTGGTCACGTTGGGGTTCGAGCATGTACAAGGTCATTATGGTTTATTTTTATGATGGTGTATTCATGTTGTGGGGCCTGCGTGCACAGAGGAGCAGGATTAGCCTTACTGACCTCATGTTAGGCCATGTCTGTGATGATGACAAGGTCATAGAAACAACATAGTGCAAATGTTGCACTTGTGATAGCGTTGCGGTAGAATGGCGTCATCTTCTAGCTCGTAGCTGCATGTTGACACAATGCAGGAGTCTTCAATTAGTATCTCACTGAGCTGTCTTTGTTTGCAACTAGTGGACGAATTGCATTTGTCTGAAATGTCTTAAATGCAAGGTTTCTCATTTTCCTTGGGTAAGTTGCAGAGATTTTCAGTCTTGTTGCTTGGGTTTTGAACATGTTTATGTCTGGCATCTCAAACCCATCTCAAATTTGTCAGGGATTTCTCCATCCCTTCTAAAGAACCGTATTCTCTCCTCGATTGATTCTATCGTCAAGACCAAAATAATGGATAATAAATGGCATTTGTTGAAAAAAACTGGTCCAGATCTAACTATTGTCTTTTCAAAAGTGTACTCTAGGAGGTTAAATCATAAACATGGAAACAGATGCAGAGTTGTGTACAAAAAAGGCCAATATGGGCATTAGTGGACAACAAAATAATGTGAACACCTAGCTCCCCAAACGATTAGATTTTTCGTATTTGTTGCTTAAAACATGCCTTATTGTTTGCTTGTCGCCAACACTCATGTTTCAATGAAACTTAAAAGAAGTTCACCAATTTTCTTGCAATTTTCAGTCTCCGACAGTCACAGCCCACTTTATGCATTAGATTGCCCTTTAACCTTTCCTGTGTAGTCCAACATGTTTCTACGGCAGCAAAGAAAGAGCAAAAGAAAGACTTGGCTTGAGTGTGAACCTTTGGTCATTCCAGCTAGCATTTTGTTTCTCATCTTTGAAAAACAATGAGGCATCTGTGATCCTGCAGAAGAAGGGACAAAGTGGACACAACCCACATTTTTCTTCTTATGTTTCTGTAGCTAAAAAAGCACAACAAATATTTTACTGACTTGTGGGTTCAGTGAAGTGCATTGTTTACTCTGCATATTGTTTAATTTTAATTGTTGGATTTAATCCTGAATTCAATATCAATACAAAGTGCTACATCAGTTCAAGCTTTGGAACTCTTCAATACAAAGACACAATTGTAGGCTATAAAATATAAATGCAAAAATGTGAAAGTTTTAAACAATTGTTGGCATGTTGCATACACAGTGCACACAGGTATGCATACATGTGCAGCAAATGCATATGACAATTCTTTCAAAGCCCACATGTGTTCACACACATTCATTAAAGCTGTAGGCGACGGCGACATATTCCTTCCTGCTCTCATTCCTTTGCTCTCTGATCATTGATCTGTGTCTGGGGCTTCCAAGAAAAGAAGATTGCGGGTGGTCAACCTTGCACAAATGTAACCCAGTGAGTTTAAACCAAAGGATTTTATACAAAACCATGCATGTAAACATACATGAGGCCATTGCGTGGTTTTCATATTAGGACCTGGATGAAAAAACGTGATTTTGAGAGTTTGTGGTTTGTAGTGACTGCATGTGTACAGTATGTACTCTTTAGCACTGAGTGTACATACTGTACGTCCACAGTTTACTTGGCAGCCTACAGCTCATTTGCATGCGTGCACATGATGTGCGGGCATGCTTCAGTGTGCTCTGAATGTACCCACACATGATATCTCCATCGTTTCATCATCAAATGCCCATTACACACAGACCAATGGAAAGGCAGAGAGAAAAGAGCACACAGTACATACTGTGTTCACATTAAAAGCCCCGTGGCTCCACTCTAACTCTTGTTCTTTCACTCACATGAACACACACACTTTCATAGCACAATGACAGTTCCCCACAATTAGCTTGTTCCCTGATGATTGCACAGAAAACTGTACACCAGTTTAATTCCTGCTCTCAACTGTCTGAACACCTCCTACACAGCTCTGCTTTTAGCACTACATTTGTACTCTCACATGTAGATCAGCAAAAACACACATAGACATGCCTGCTGGAAGTACAGTACATGTTTTGTGCCCTGTTTAATGAGGGTGGTATTTAATGTCATGCAAACAATGGAGCAGCTTTAGTAACATTCACAAGGTGACAAATACAAAATGGTATATTTTCATCCACACGTCAGCCACCTGTTCAGGTGGCAGAGGCACCAGGTTATGTAGGAGACATCTTTCTCACCAGCGACCATTTTCAGCTTCTCCTGGGAATCCCAAGGTGTTCCCAATCCAGAGAGAGGACGTAACGCGTCCAGTGATTTCTGGGTCCGCCCCGGGGTCTCTTTTCTTTGGGATGTGCCCAGAAA